TCTGGCCCTGGACTGCCTCCCTGCCTTACGGCAAGACCAAACTCAAGCTCTGCTACGCGAGCTTTCGTGACTTTTTCGTGAAAGCAAAATACATTTCCAAAGGCTTGTTCATAGGGAACCCATCGATGCCACGAGCACCAGTAGAATAACAATTGCGCGAAAGGCAGACACAATAAAGACACCTCCCAGCTCGGGACACTATCCCATACTATTCCTACCTGCAAAAATAACTCCTGTGTCGGCAGAAAGCATACCGACTCTGTTTGGAAGAGTGTTTGGCGAGGGGGGGGCTACATACTTACCGGTTGCTTTCTGCCAAAAACTTCAGCGACGTGTCTGTGCAATGTATACACCTGCTCCTGCGCAGCACGCATGCTGTTCACAGCTTGCATAGCTTGGCCGTGGCACTGATCGACACCCTTGTCATTCTGACACAACACCTTTGGCATACTCATCTGCAACGCCGTCGACGGTGCTGAGCGCCAATCCTCATGACTGCTGACTTTCACGATCCGCCAATTGCCGCTGCAGGTTGTAAGTGCTTGGGAAATGGCAAAACAGATATCAAGGTTGCCGTTCTTCCACAGCTGCCTGATATCCCAGCCATGCTGTTATAGCAAATTAAAGAGCCTGCAACAGCAATGTCCGAATCAGAGCAAATCATCCCGCCATCCCCCAAAAGTGCGGCTGCAAGAACTGCAAAAATCTCAACTCTGTTGTTCGTGTGATGCTCACCTGGCACATAATCGTGCAGCACTTCTGGCTTCACCCAGCAACCCATCTTCAAGCACACTAGCCCATGCAGACAGACTGAGGGCTGGATCTGTCGGATGCTGGGTGGAACCATCTATAAACAGGTGAACGCCTTCGCCTTCAAAAAACTTTCTCACAGCTTGGCAAGTACGGGTGCGCAGCAAACTTTGGACTGAAGCAACGCCGCTGGTTTTTGAAACAAACCCCAGTGCAAAACAAAAGTGCTCAAAGCCGTAAGGAGCGTCAGCTGTTCTCTGCAACTCAACGTAGCTGGGCAGTCCACAAGCATGTCTTCAACCGTAAGCTCTGCCTTACAAAACGGGTCGCGATGCTGGCACTATGGCACCACATGTGTAATTTTCAACTTGAGCATCGTAACCCTGCCCAGTATGAAGTACCCGCCGAACCAAACGAACCGAAAAACTTTGGAGGCCCTCCAACCCTTTGCAACTTTGCACAACTGGTGCGAATCGCACTGCCATGCCTCCAACAGGTGTTCATGAACAACATCCCAACCAGACAAAAGGATGTTAAGCATAATTTGACCTGGCACTTCAACCTAACCATCAAGTACTGGTAGCAGGTACCATCCCAAACTACGAACGTCCTTGAAGAAGTACGTCAACGGCCCTCCGCACTTGGACTCACGGCCATGCATCAAAACATTCCAGGCACTACGAACGACAGGGTACAGGGCCCACATGCGCTTAAGATTGTTGCACCGACGCCTAAAGATATGGAGCCCATGGTTTAAATTTCACTTGCACCAGGTAAAGGCGCAAGGAAATGATTTCTCCGGTTTGCGGATCCCCAAACAGCTTTGGGTACCCGCAGCAGAAACGAAAACCGAACCCAGCTCCGACCCATACAAAGCTGACGGAAAAACGAACCGTGTCAGACAAGCAACTGTCTTGGTGATACTCGAGGGCAACACTGGAAGGCGCTCCAATTTCACTAAATTCTCATCCGAATACTGCCAAGCTTGAACCTAATGTGGCTCCAATCAGGAGGAACTGCTACAAACGGCTGGACAGCGAGCAATTCAAAACTGATCTGTATGCAAGCATTCGGAGTCCATGTCTTGGTCGTGTCGGAAAAGGACTTCTACGACTTGTGGTCCATGTGAAGCAGTGCCTGTTCTTCAAAACTTGCAGTGCAAAACATGCTGACAAGATAGAGCAGCGCTAAGACACAAAAACGATTGCCCGAAAAATATGTGCAAGGACTAGCTGCCAGCCAAAATATAATGCACCGACGACACCTATTGAGTTAATGCCACACGTAGGCACAAAAACACACTCAGAAACAAGGCTGAAATTGCAGCCTGGCTGGTGGAAGTCGTGGAGGTCATGGAGGTCGTGGTCGTGGACGACACCTGGAATGGGGGAATTGTTCACGTCCTGTGATTTAGCAGAGCTTTCATTTGGCAGGTCGGGGAACGCGGATCTACCTTCAGTGGGCCGCGGATGCCCCACGGCCCCCCAAAAAAGCACTCTGGCCTCACTCGCAGTCGTACTCGGCAGCACGTGCCCCTGCAACGCGTAATTTCTGTGATCAATGAGAACCGACATGACAACAGAGCATCACGGGGTTGGCTACAGCTTCTGAGCCGGTATGAGGCCAGAAGGGCTAACAGCATCGAAGGAACTAGACCACATCATAAAACACAAGCATCGAACGAAAACACCAGCAATCGAAGCGGAGCTTCGGAACAGCCCGCGCTTTGGGGTTCGCCCGGACTAACCTTCCTACTCCATCCGGGCGAGGTGATAAACAGGAAGGGTGAATGCAGAAAGGCCTCTGCAGCAAGCATGGTGATTTCCTCTCGAACTCCTGGACTCTCACACGAATCAGGAAATGGCCTTGACCGCCAAGTAATAAAGGTCGTTGTTCCCATTTCCGGGGACGTTTCCTGCAGCTTGGCAGGCGCTGGTTCCGCGGAGTGTACTGCATGAGCATACGGCGCGGCCTCCAAAGACCCAGCCACCAAAAGGGCTCATGCTAGAAGCATGAAATTCGCGAGCATCTGGGCCACCGTCCGTGACTGCTTGGACTTGAACCCAATCTGAAGCCTGCTCAGGCATCACTAATTCACGCTACTTCTTGCTGGTGGACAGGAATCTGCAAGCCACGCCTGTAAATCCCAGTACCACAAGTCATCAAGAAGCTTGCTCCCGTCGTCGCCCCCGAAAACCCAGAAAAAATGGCCGGCTGCATCCTTGGTTGCCCTGCAACACTTGCAATGGACGTTTACCTTCCCCCTTGTTTCAGTTTGGCTGGAAGAATTAGATAGGTTCTTTTTCGGTTTTGTGTGGGAGTTTTGCTTGCTTGCTGTTGCCCAGCCGCTCCCGCTGTGGCGCTGTGCGGATTCTGAGCTCGCGTCCTAGTATTCTCACGGCATCGGATTCATTGCAAATTACAATACATGGACCGCATTCTGGATTCGAACACTTGAAACCGCAGCAGTGCTTGGGGGAAGAGATAGTGGCGTCCTCCTGAATCGTTCTCTGGAGGTAGTCTCAGCGGGCAAGGAGCGGACGAGGAGCAGGCGGGAGTAATAGCTGACTTTAAAGTCTGACACACCGAGGGTGGGGAACAATGCCGCTCCTTTCGGTATGTCCAAGCGTCCAGGAAGCACGAGTGTCGTTGGCGTGCAGAAGGCCCAGAGGAACTTGAACTCGCCAAGGTCCACTTCCTCTCCTAGGTCACTCTTCGCTGTGAAGCTTCCTGAACCGCAAGCAATGAGGCCTACAAGGAAGCATCCGGCCTCGGCATCAAACAACCAGAGGTCTCTGACAAGGCGGTCTGATGTCATGCCTGCGTTTGAAACGCTGCATCACGTTTTCAAAACCCCCGCCCCAACACGGATAGACCCAACTTGGCTTGTAACAGCAGGCCGCGGCTGAGGCCATGTGCCATGAGGGCACTGGAAAGGACACACCCACGCCTGAGCCTCAGAGTCTCCGTCTCACCCTAAACCCGAGACCCTAAGCCGCGCCTCCAAAGATCCAGAAGCGGCCCCAGGCATCTACGGCAGCAGCGTGGTTGAATCGAGCGGACGGCCCAGAGCCCGAATCAATCTGAGTCCAGCCCGCCTGAGCACGGTTGTTTAACACATCATCGCATCAAGAAGTCAAGCAATCAGGCAAGCATGGAAGAAGAACGATGTATACAAAACAGCCCCTTCCCCCTCTTATCAATCGACGTCCTGGAGGCAAGTGAGAGGGGGGCATATGCATCCCATCATCACACGATGGACGATGTCATTTGATGAAAGCGGGTATGCCGGAAGCGATTTGAGCACTCAATCGGTCGCTTTGTCAATGTACTCTCGACAACCTCCCCCCTTTCCCCTTAGGCTTATGAAGCGCTGCCATGGCACACGATGTTGATCCGAGTGGAGGTTCTACCCAGGACCCGTCCCTGTAGAACCCTAGACCCCTAAACCCTAAACCCCTAAACCCTAAACAGCTGGCATGTCGACTCTGCTTCTTGCCGGCCTCCAGCTCAAAGTGCCACAGGTCCTTCAGCAAGTCCAAGTCCGATCCCCGACCTCGGGTTTTTAGGGTTTAGGGGTTTAGGGGTTTAGGGTTTAGGGTGCTCATCACCCAATAGGCCGTCTGACTCCAAGATTGGACTCAGGCACCAACGACCTCCAAAGACCCAGAACCACCCGGAGGAGGACACGCCGGAGGCTGGCCCATATCGTGCGGATGGTCGGGACCCGGAGATCTGTGGTGATTTCCATACGTCAGCCTTGCGCAGACATGAAGTTCAGGGTTTGGGGTTTCGGAGGTGTGAGGGTTGGGACTCAAGATACCCCCCGGCCAGATCCCCTCCAAATATATGCGCTTCAGCTAATTTTTCACCCGCACAGCTCGGCAAGTTGTGAATGCAGCGGGCGGGGCACTATGTTGTAGATCTTGTTGGCAAGGCCTAAAAGGCTTTCGGCTGGCTACAGTCGTCTGATATCAGGAAATGAGCTCAAGCCCACACACACACACATGCATGATAGACTTACATAGCAACTCCGGCACGGTCGCAACACGATACCGGATTAATCCTCATTGAACACACGCATGCAACGTTTCATGCAAGTAATGAACTCATGGGATACCTGGTAAGTCAGGAATGCAGCCTGAAGGCATCCTACGTTGGGTGTAGGGTTGAGCACGCAAGGGACTTGATGACTGTTGGGGCACCACCTTCAATGTCTCCCAGAAGCTCATCAGCGTCTGCGCGAGAACATCTTCAGGTTCAGGCAAGTAACACTGATAATACTTGAAACAATCATAGAAATATTTATAACAACAGTAATCAAGTCAGGAATTTCTCTGCTACCCCTGTCGAGCAACGGGCTTCAGTTGCACTTTTTTGGACTGGAGCTTCGGTTTAGGGTTTAGGGTTTAGGTGGCTTCGCTTCCAGATTGGTTCTTCTCCGGAACTACTGCAATTTCAGAACAAACCCGCTCTAAGGCGGCTTAGTAAGTTAATTCCCATGCCGTTCAACTTCACATGTCAGGAGGTTCAACTGCCGTACAGGACTGCACTGGCCTTGTTTCAAGACGTTGCTCTGACTTGAGGAAGAAGACTGCACTTCTTGTGGTTTTCTGTAAATGCCTCGAAACTGCGCATCACGGTGGTAAAGGCCTGCCTGGATATCGAAATACCACAGGTCATTGAAGAAGTTCCTTCCATCCCAGCCTGTGACAGCACCACAAAATCTTCAAAGCCAGTTTCTGCATCACCCATCTGTGAGGTCTAGGGCATTTGTAAGAATTGAGCGAAATTTCGTTGTTGCTAGGCGGCTAGGCGTTCAGCCGTCGGGTCCAAGGTCTACCTGAGGGTTTACAGCTAAGGTCTTGAATTCAGGGACTGTGTCATGCCAGAAACGGCTAGGTGTGCAGATCGTTGAGCAATCTTTCATCGTGCACTGCACCAGGGAACGGCAAGAGCACGTCGTAGCATGTCCCGAAAAAATGGTTTTCTTTGCTCGTTGATTATTCCAAACCCGTTCCCTTGGCTGTGGTTTCGCTAAGGCAGAGTCCGAAAACTGCTCCTGCACTTGTGTTCACTTCAAACCCTAAACTATCTTAAACCCTAAACCCCTAACCCTAAACCTTAAAGCGCCTCCAAAGATCCAAAAGCGATCTGAGCTGTCCATTGCCGAGGACTGGCCCGAGCGGCGTGACGGCCCGCTCTTCCCCGATTTGTCCTTCCAAAGTCCGCCTGATCCGACCTGACTGTGGGGCTTAGGACTTAGGGTTTAAGCCGTAGGCCTAAACCTTAGGGCTTGGGGTTCAGGGCTTAAGGCTTAAGGTTTGGGCCTTCGGGCTTGGGGTTCAGGGCTTAGGGTTTAGGAGTTTAGGTTTGGAACAGATGTCAGGTTACGGAGTTACGCACGCGTTTTGGGCTTGACTCAAGGCACCTGCGGTCTTGTAAGCTCTACCTACGGCAACATGTGCAGTCATCAAGCTGTACAAATGCTCCTGCAAACATGTGGCCGATCTACGCCTTTGTGATACGTAGGGACAGGGGATTTTCACACCCGTCTTATCTCCGAGTGACCGATCAAACATATACTACGCGGCTGCGTCACCACTCACTTGCGGCTCATCCGAACTATGTCGGGGCTCGGCAGCAGCGGAGTCTGCAGCGGGTGTCGCAGATGACAGTGCATCTGGTGTTGGGTCACGCACCGTAACTTTGTTTGTGCATATTGTTTCCTTCAGCAAATGAGGCTTTGGTTGGGCAATCTGCGATTTGTCAGTGAGTGGCGATCCATCTCAACACATCCCCGTATAGGTGGAAGGCTTCGTGGCTAAGGAGATCCTCCTCCCAGACGGTTTGGCGCAATCCCGCCATCTCTATGGATAGGCGCTTATCCTCAACCTGCTTCGGCACTAGTGACAGCAAATGATCTGTAAGGGAACGGCGATCGGTATATTCGATGTGCAGCATACTTCTTCGGGCTATCCCTTCCCAGTTCGCGCTCTGTGGCAACTTGCCCATCACCTCTAGCACACTAGCCCTGAGCCTGTCTCCAGGCTCCATGGCATGTCGGAGGGCATAGGCTTCACACTGCAAGCGGTTCTACAGACACGCTTCATAGTTGAATAACTGTACGATATCAAATGCATACCGTGTACGTTCGCGGCTGCATTGACCGCGTCTCTATGCGACGTCAGGTAATGAGTGCGGCCTCGCTGAGATTTATGTCCCGCTTCACCTGCGAAAGATGCGTCACAGAACGTGACCACTGCCAGCTCACCGGTGCTCCATGGCAGCCGGGCTTTGTAGACCAAGGATCTCTCTGCATCATTCAATTCAAGCACTACCACACGATTAGCACCCTTGAGGGTCTCGATTGTAGCTTCCGTAACCTGCTGTTGCAAAGCGTTTACCCGATAAGTTACGTCGGGTCTCGCTGCGCGGGCGACCCATGCGAGGGATCCTACCACTGGCCACGCGGTGCGTTGGGCGGGGGTTACCGGCGTTGTGGGCTTATCTCCCTTAGGGATGTGGACAGGCCGAATCGCACGAGTGTTGTCACGGCAGGCAGTTGATTTCAATCGAAAAGTCCTCGTGTTGAATATATTCTCGACCGCGAAATCCAAACCTCCCCTCTCCAATCCTCCCGAACTTTCTCTCTCAAAAAAGTATAAGGCAGATAAAATTGCAAGCCAAATTCGCGGCTGCTTGCTTTGATGCGCAAATATAATTTCCAAGGGTCCCCTGAAAATACGCGTTAGTGATGTCTGCCGCACGAATGCGGAAACCAAGGGACACAGCCCAGCTACAGATGAGGGCTATCCCCTCTTGCTCAGCCGTCGGGGAATCGGCGCGTATATCTTCCTCGTTCATATTCTCAAAGTTGCCGCATGCAACTAAGCGGGCTTTCCACTTGGGTGTATACCCCGGCGTTCCGACCAAATGCTCGTTCTTATCTGTAAGAACCCACTTCGTCAGGACACAGACGTGGCCTGCCTTGACTAACTCCTTCACCTCCCTGTCGGCGCAGGGGATTATGGCATTGAGCTCGACATATTGGGTCCATTCGGTTTCCGTATAGCCTGGTCGAGTCCCAGTTGCGCGTGCACTGGCGCTTTGCGGTAATCTATCAAGCTGGCAAGAGAGACTGTCTCTGTCTCCTGATTTATATCATCAGGGCTAGTCTCCCGTGTGACCTTTTCCTCGACGGGGGAAGTAGACGAAGAAGCCTAAGCACGCGAAGCACTCCTGAGTGCACAAAGCCGTGGGATCAACTGTTTGTTCACTGTTCTTCCAGAGTTCCGTCGACGCGGATATGATCCACACGACGATTATACGTCTTGGCTATGTAGCTGGCTATGTCTCGACGGTGGCAACGTCGCCAGCTACTCTCTGAGCAACGCATTCCGATGCGATGCATCTCGTCGTTGGCTTCAGCGACGATTTGCCTAATGGTATCCTGCGCCTCTCAGGAGGGCTGCGCTGATGCCACCCTTGGACCTATTCCCAAGCTCGGGGCAATGGGTATTGATAATTCCATCTGTGAAGCACAATCGTGATAGATCGTCACGGCAGAACTGTGGGCGACGTGCACATATCGGCACACTGCGAACCATCTACAGTCTCCTCTATGCCGTGCTCATAAAGGCGTTCGATGAAATCTTCGGGCGATAGGTCCGAGTGGCCTAACGAAAAGATCCCATCGCCTCTTCGGAGCTCCAATGGAGGCGCATTGGCATAAACAGGAAAATTGAGAGATGCTCGTCGGAGTAACGTTGCTCCGGGCCATAGACGATCGCTTCTGGCAAAAGAGGTTCTCCAGTCAGCACCCTATGGGACGCTACTTCTACTTCGTTAGCGAGCCTCATTTTTCTTGCGTTCACCGACACAGGGACGTTTCCATGAGTTAACCAGTACGCATTCTCAGCTTCCCGTCCGATGACGCGACTGACTGTCGACCAAACGACCGCTGTAGACCCAGGATGACCCAGGGACGTTATCCCTACGATATATGACTGGATCTCCGACATTACAGTCGGATTCAATAAGTGCTGCATCCCTCTGAAGTGTCCAAGCAGGCCTCGGACGCGGTGGTTTGGGCGCCTCTAGGGCGGTGTCCTCAGCGGCTGCGCCGGACACGGTGGGCCCCAGTGATCAGGCTGCGGCGGGTCCACTGGAAGTGGAAGTGGTCGGGCCTCCGACTGTCCGACGGAGGAGGACCTGCCGGGGGAAGCCGAACTTCACGAAGCACTATCCCTATCAGCACCACCACCAGAGCGTTCTTTGACCCGGCTTTTGCTATCAAAATGCTGCCTATCTCGACCTGTCGCGCGCTTCCTGCCAACCTCGATGCCTGTCGTCACGACGGTCTTGGTCATCACGGCGGTCACGGAGCTGCGTCCGAAGTCCTAACTCTTCGTCATCTTTGTCCTGGATGGTGTGCTCCAGCCTTCCGTTCTCGATGCGGAGGCGGTCTGCAACCGCTTGGCTTGCATCTCCCACTGGCCGCGCAGCGGTCCGGGCTGGATTGACGGCAGCAGTAGCTATTGAGGAGTCATTGAGGAGGTGGCATAGGCACTATAGGCTGCTTCGGACGGTGCCACACCGCTAAATCACAAGAGGTGGTCTCAAAGGACCCCACTACCTGAAAGGGGCAACTTGTCAGCTCCTGTGTTCGCACCTGACGTGTTCATAGCAGGCGTCCCTCCCTTCCGCTTGGGCGGTATAAACGCTCGCCGTCTCGGTGGACGGTGCGGCAGCCGTAGCTCCACCGCCTTGGCTGGGGGCAGCTGTTGTACACGTGGCGACCTGGTCCGGCTGCACCTCGATTCATCGCTGCGGTGAGCAAGTCGGGGCCCACTTGGCTACATACGATGTATGTTTCTTCCTCTTTAGACCCATGCGCGAGGCTGCCTCAGCTGACTCTCCAACCATTGGCGCTAAGTCCATTGGTCGACGTCGTCGTCGTCAACAACCATGGACGATGCCATGTGCTGGGCTGCTGCCAACGCACTGGGTGCTGCGGTTGAGGTCGCTGCTCCGGCCGACGGTGCGGCGGGCTGCTGCTGGCCTGCTTCCTCAGCTCGACGCCTTCTGAAGTCACGGCGTTCGTGACTGCATCTGCCGGTCGAGCTGTCTGAGGTTCGGTGACCATCAGTGTAGTCGTCCTCGATTCCGTTGACCTCAAACACCTTGGCGTTGAATTTTGAATAGCTTTCTGCAGCCCACGAGAAATGTTGTACTTCGTGCTGAAGGCAACGCCCCTTGCGTGACCTACCATGCGTTCTAGGCCAACTACTTACGGCATTCCAGTGAGTTATACTCACGGCACCGTCCTTGATCTGGCGGGCCATATGATACAACAGGTAGCCGCCTCCAACCGAACGGTGTCTGAGTCTGTTGGCCCTGCACACAACAAAACTATGCATGTCGCAGCGCCAGCATGGCGTGCATCAATCAGCGTATTGCTGATGTACCGCGAGTGTTCTATGAACTCACACCAGTCGACCAACTCGCTCAAGATATGTGGACTGCTGCCGATGTGGCTCTTGTTGGCATTGAACTCCTCCTCCAAACGATGCCGACGGTGCGGATCTAAGTCTGCGCCGAAGCGTTCGTCTGCCAACCAAGTCATATCCATAAATGTGGACAGCCAGCTCGTGGTAGAGCGTTCTCGCACCGCTGGCATTATAGCCAGTTCATCCATCAAGTCGAAAAGAGCACGTTCATCCGAAGCATTTCTAAGGCGTTGGATTGCCGCCTCATGCTCATACCCATACGTCAATATGTGAACGATCACTTCTTGTTTTGAGGGGCCTAAAACCACAGACGTTATAGCCACGTCCTACGATTTGCCACTGCGCGCTGTCCTCGGGGACGCTCTCCATGTGGCGACCAAAAGCCTCCTGCGCTGCTCTCGGGCCTTCTCGGGTGAACAGCGAGGTGCTTGTCACGGCGGCAGCAAACTCTGATGGAGGTTCGATCAGGCTAGCTCTGACTTCGGCGGGGTCGTTAGGGTCGGTGCCGCCTTGCTCTAGTGCCATAAAGTGGCGTGAGATGAGGCGTTGAGTGATGTTAGCACGTGGCTCATGCCAAGAGTGTGGCTGTTGCCTCGGATTATACCGAAATTTAACCTCGACTGGACCTTCATCTGCCTCTGGTTCCTTGCGCTTCAGCGGAAGTCGCCGCAGCTTCGGTTGAGGTGTTGATTGACACTGGGGGAGAAGGGACAGCAATCAACCTAGGCTGCTTGCTATCGTGTGTCCTACACGTCTGTATAGGAATAATCTTGTTGCTGGACGGTAACCGCACCCCGTATTGGTTAGTCGAGCCCCACCCCGAATCTCGTGGGAATCCAAAACTCTTGGAACACAAGCCTCATTGTCGATTCCCATTTTTGAGAAAGGTATGGATCGGGAACCTAGGGTCTCGGCGTCCCCGCTCAATCCTTTAAAGGTCCTCGACCCTTCAGCTGAAAACTGGGCGCTAAATCCAAGGCGGGCTAACTTCTGAGCTGCGTTAGCTATCCAATCGGTACCATGTGCCGCGCCAATGCACCCCTCATCCAAGACAGCAAAATACCCTCAGCGGTATAGATATTATCTACCACTGGCAATGAGGCTAGAGCAGGATGGGTATCGGTTGCACCCTCAGACATGAGTGCCACTGTCCCAACAGATCCCCGCCTCGAGGATCGGGAGCGTGCTGCGGACCGTGCTGATGCTACCTCCCAACTAGTCTTGTTACTAGTCGTCCCCATCTTATCTTCGAGAGCTTCTTGGAGGTAACCGATCACATCGCCCTCGTTATAGACGGCTCTCGTCACATCATGGCCTTCTACGGTTTCTCTAAATTGTTCCATTGCGGTAACCACTACCTCTATGGGCAGGTCTTCACTCGTACGACTCGTTCTAGAGCGTAGCAGGTCAAACTCTATCGAGTTCGCCTCTCTTACATTAGTGGCAGTGTCTATGCGCTTCTTTCGTTCCTCTTGCGGTTGTTCATCCAACATAAGACCGCATAACTTAATTACACCTAAGTCGACTGGCCTTTCTGCTGGAGCCCGACCTCTCGGTGGAGGCGCGAAGACAGGTGGCCATCCACTACAGGTTTGTCCTTTTTGGTTTTGGTTACAGTGCCACACCTATTACATGTGCGCATGTCTATGTATGCGTTTCTACCAGACTTGCTGAACTCCTGGCAGCCTCCACGGCACAGCGCGCGGAACAGCGAGAAGCCCACATCGGACGATGCCGATGGCTACACTGGTTCAGGTGGGGGCATGCCACTCGAGGGAATTTCCCTACGAGTTATCTCGATTGGATCACAGTCAGTCACGATGAAATACTCATGCACCCAATTCAAAACTCTCCCAAGAGCCTCGAAGGGCACTTCTGATTCTGACCCCCAGGATATATCCCGGGTAGGTGTAAAGAACCCTTTCGTAGGTCAACCCTACGCGCTTCTCAAGGGTAAACAACGTATCGCTGCCGGGTGGCGGCCCGCATGACACTAGCCGCTACTGATCTTCGCATCTCGGACTCCATGACGCCTTGGCTACCGCGTCCCTTCCCCGACTTAAGTGCCATGAAACATTTGGCATCAATTGGGCATTGCTAAGGTAAACAACCTCATCGTCGTCATCCGACTCAACGGCCATATGCCCTTCGGGCTTTGGACTAGGATTCTTTGCAGCTCCACCGGACGGTGCCGGTGGCCCACTGGGCTGAAGCGATGGTGCACCAGCCTTCCGGGCACCACTCTTGAATTTGCATTCGGCATCACCAGGCCGGTGGCCTATCACTCCACATCTCATGCACCGACTACGTCTACGTGCCTTAAGCTCGGTGAGCTTAACATTTCTATCTGCAATCGTTAAACTGGACCTGACGACTTTTCCACCGGACTTCCCCTTGTCCTTGCTCTTGCCCTTGCCTTTTCCTTTGGCCTGACTAAGGGTACCAGTCGGCGTACGCAAGCTGAACTGCCTCAGCGTAGTCTTCGGTTAACTCATCTAGCTCAGCTTCTCCAGCTACCGCGGTATACGCCTTCAACTGCATGGCCTCTTCCTCGTCTTCGATTCATTCCTCAGGCTCGCAAGCGGGTCCAGCGGCCGTATAGGCCTCTGCGCCTTCATCAGTGGCATGCTGCTCCTCTTGATCCTGTTGGTGATCATCCTCGCCATACCACGGACCCATGTACCCATACTTGGGTGGTGCATTCGGCTGACGACCCCAGGGTCTATGCCCTGGTCTATTTGCATTGTTCTTCTCAGTTAGGAGACGCGCTTTCATGTGAACCACCGAATGGTGTTGGACAAAGACTCGGGCGTACTCGTCAACGGTGTGATTGCACGTGGCCGTCTTAACCATATGTTGTTCTTTGCGGGTTAGACCTGATAGTTCAACAAATAAGTTTGCGCTCATGGATTCCGAGAGACGTATGTCTGGATCCAACTTTTGGAGCGTTGTCCACCAGCGTTTTCTGCGCCCGATGTATGATAACATCGGCTCTCCGTGCTGCTTGGCCAAAGGCTCTGGGAGCAGCTGTCCTTGACGGAAAACTCTGAGGCTTCCTCGGACTGCAAAGGAAAATCTTGCTGGCGGATGGTTTCAATCAGGTAGTCTATGCCATCCGGCTTCGGCTTGATGTGGGGGGCTATGCTAAACGCATCGCCTCGAAGGCCCTCTAAAATCTTACTAACGCACTCGCTCATATCTATATCTTCCTCGCGAACGTCAGCAAATATAAGCAACATGGGCTCTGTGTGGGCCCGGCTATCAAGCGGACCATCGTCTTCCTCATCATGTTCGCCCTCAACCTGGCTGGCTCCATCTGGCAGGCTTGGGCCCTCGGAAACTCACTCTGGGTCGACCCGGTGCCATCATCTTCACTGGCGGGTGCACGGGTTGCTCGTCGCGCGCTCGACGGGCTAGCGGGTATGCCGCTTGACTCCGCATGCTCGGTGGGGCGGTCTGTGGAGGGAGCATCACCTCCGCGCAGGAAGCCGGGCTTCAAAGGCTTCCCTTTCCATAGCTGTGAAATTTGGCAAAGGCAGCAGCGCGCATATCTTTTAGTAATTTAGCAGTTCATGTTTCTGCCTCTCCTTGTGCTTCAAAACCTTCACTCTCGTTCTGAATTCCCAGTCATGGTAGGACGATGCATACCAGAATAAAGATGGCTACCTGGTTACCGCTCTTGGTTTCGGCTGGGGCACTGTTTTGAGTGCACCACGAGCTTTGGAAACGGAGTCCAGCTACCGACGTGGCTCTTCCCAACTACCCTTCCCCAACTACGCTCTACGTTTTCGGGACTTCACCGGTGAAACACTAGCGCGCGTAATCCACCTGCCAATTTGGAACAGATATCAGGTTACGGAGATACGCACGAGGAAGAGTAGCACACTTTCTGTGTCTGACTCAAGGCGCCTGCGGTCATGTAAGCTCTTTCAGGCACCTACGGCAACATGTGCAGTCATCTAGCTGTACAAATGCTCCTGCGGTGCGGCCTGAGGAAGGCATTGATCAAAAGGTTAGCACCGAAAACTTAAGCCTTGGCATTTGTCAGGCAATCCTTTCCAAATCAAAGCCCTCGGCCGCTAGACATAACTCCTGCCAAAGGGCTGGTGAAAATTTGAGCCACTCATCTCGCCACACCCGGGCGTCGCAATATGTTTTCCATGTAGCTGTGGGGGGGAGCTCTGCGTTGCTCTCTAGGTACCTAAGGAGACCGAGCTCTCGAATGCTGCGCAGACATTGGAGAGGCTAGGGTGTAAGTTTAATTAAGAGACTTAGGGTCGTTTGGGGCATTTCAAAGCCAAGGAGCGCCGATTTATAACAAATTCCATCACTGTCCAAATCCTGCTCCAACGACGTGGAAGGAGGAATACTTCTCACCATCCACATTGCGCCGAGGTTTGTTTCCGTTGTGGCCGGATTGCCATCACAATCTGGATCGTAGAACAGGTACCACGACTCGTCCAGATGTTTATAGTATGGCCTTCCACTAGCAGTGTAGCCCTGCAGCTCATAACGCCCGTTGACCTGGGGGTTTCCGAAATAGGGGACCCAAATATAGTACCCTAAATAGTAGGATCCTTATGAAAAGGACCTCAAACCCCAAACCCTGAACCCCCAAACCCTAAACCCCTCATTTTCGGAAACTCCTGGACCTCGGAATTGCAGTGGCCTTCGAGCAGATAGGCCCCTGGCCCTTCAACCTGCTCAAGCACACAGGAGCAACAAACGCAGACCGTCAAGCTCTCACTGTTTTTTGTTGACGTGCTGCGAAGAACATGTTGGCAAAGTGCTTGTGCATGCACCGGGTTGTTGGTTTCGTGTTAGCTGAAGTGCTTGAAATCTCAGAGTCTTAGATTAGAGGATCGCCAGGGGCTGGTCTATGCATCGTCAGGGGCCAAACAGAGCCTGGCGGTGCCGAACTGAAAAAACAACCTCTATCGTCTTGGATGTTCTTCCTCTGGATGGCAGCTGGGAGTGCTTGATGCTTGGGGTGTGCCTGGGCTGGGCAAACCAGCTGCCAGTCCCTACAACTCCTGCCCTCCCCCCAGTTGGGTGATTCCGAAGTGTGCAGGCGAGGTGTTAGGCCAAGCTCTGTTTCAAAGCTGGTGTGCTTGGTCGGTTGAGGCATGAGCTCTGAGCCAACGGCCGTTGTAGTTGCGGCCTGCAAGCAGGGCTTTCTCATGTGAAAATACCAAACAAGTGGAAGAGCCGATTCAGTTGCAGCCATACCTCCAACCATTACGACCCTTACGATTGGATGGAATTGCACTCTTCCTATGCACTCTTCCCAAGCCCTGGTCCCCAAACCCTAACCCCTAAACCCCAAACCCCTAAACCCTCTTGGCCTGGCATTCCCCGGCGGACCAGGAGCAGTCACCATTACACCAGCTTTCACCTCGGCGGTCGTCAACTTGAGGAGGGTTGAGGGTTTTAAGTTTGGGGTTTAGGGTTTTGCGGGCTTGGGGTTTAGGGTTTAGGGGTTTTGGGTTTGGGGTTGAGGGTTTAGGGTTCAGGGGATTAGGGTTTAGGGTTAGGTTATAGGGGTTTCGGGCTTAGCGTGTGCTTGTATGAGAAAAACAGGTATCCAGCCAATACAGACGATGGGTCCCAAGAAAGCTAACAGAATCCTTGCATTGAGTCCTCTTCTACCTGGGGTCTCACCTATTGTTATTAATACTGTTAATGCGCTACTACTCGGTTAAGGTCCCGTGTTTTGTTCTTACAAGAGGTCGTGGCCATGTTGTAATCAAAGTAGTATGCCGGCCAGAGCCGTTCTGAGAACACGAAGTTTGCCCCCGAAGGTCCTAAAGACTACGTGGGCTAAAGGCCACTGATGGGGTCCTAATTATGATCCAACCAATTCCCTGCAGTACGGTTACCTGGACCATGGAAAGACCTCAGGTGCACCTACGTTCTGGGTTTTCCTTGGCAAGCTCTTTTTGAAAGCTTGCGGAGCAGCGGTGGAATACGCGGTCTTCTCTGGCTCACGGTCTGACTCTACAGCTCTGAGCCGGCCACACGTGCAGCATGTGCTCTTCCCGACTGGGACAGAGTATCAGAAAGCCAAAGAATACCGCGTAGGACGGAAAGACAAGCAAAAAACCATCGGCGAATGGCCCTGACAGTTCCCGGCGCTCGGGTAAAACCACTGCAGCTGCTAGGACAGAAAGCTCTCACAAGGAGCTGCTGTCTTGCAAGCTATGAACGATGTCCACTCATTCCTAATCCTAGACCCGAAAATTGGAAGGCATGCTGACTTCAAGCAAAAGAAGCCGGGTCCCAGGCCATACCACTCGCCGCTTGCAGTGTCGCGCGGGCATACGGCGCAGTGCACAGCTGAGTGCTCACCGCAGTCCACCTGACAGCGGCTATGCCATTTGCAACCCCATCAAGGCTGCACAGCTACGAGCCGGGCTCGGAGGTATGTTGAAGTTGTAAGCACTAAGACCGAAGTTCTGGAGGCGAGTTCTGGCCCCTTCCTCAGCTCACTTTTGTCTCAAAGATGTTTCCAAGACAGAGAAGTTGATTGTACCTGCATAGCTGCATAGCCACGATGCCCGAACCAGCAAAATCGAACCCGGAAGCCCCCCCGGCGGACAGCTCCGGGCCCCGGGAGCGAAAACGGCCAGCACTGACAAGACGGATGATCGACTGTAACGGGAATGAAGGCTTCACACATGTTGTCTGCGTCACTTCGGCAGCATCAGTCACCATGATGTGGGTTCTACCCCACAACCTAAACCCGACAGTGAACCCCTGCTAAGAAGAGAGTCCTTTGAAAGGGACGCTGTAAACTGCGAGCACGCCTGGTGCTGGAAATACCAAAGGTCGTTCAACCAAGTCCCATCATAGTCGACATAGCCTGCAGCCAAGATTTCAAGCAAAGTTCTCTCCAAAGTAGGTTTCGGAGGGTTTCGGTGCTTTTTTGCAGCCCCCTGCTGCCTCCAAAAATCCAGAAGCGGCCAGAGGAGTCCTCGCCCCCGGAGGGCCGCCAGCGCCCAACCGGCCCCGAGACGCCTCCAGAAAACGAGAACCACTCGAAGGTGGCGAGGCTCCTGGCCGTGCGAACGAGCCGCGCTAGGAGCAGAGCGGTTCAGGTTGGCGAGCCTTGTGGAAGTCCTTCTCGGCGACGTTCTGCTCGGAGTCTGACAAGCGAGGGACCCATGGAAGCCAATTCTGACTGTGCTAACATCCCATCATTAGGTCCACTTATCCAGGAGGGTCAGCCGTCAACCAAACAGCAGCTGCAACATGGGCCGTGCTCGGCCCGAACTTCCAAAACGAGCCTGGCCAAACGATCCCTACGACCCCTGCAAGGTTGAAGTTCTTGTAGTAATCACCAACAACAAGTCTGGCGGAAGCCATGCACAATGGCAACAGTAAGTCTTGTACTAATAGTCGTCGTAGTACTTAAAGTACAGTAGTACTCAGGACTCTCAGACATGCCTCCGCAGCCTACAAGAAACAGCACCTGAGGGATGAATTGGTTGCACCTTACGACAAGGCCTCCCTGGCAACCTAAACCCCAAACCCCGAACCACAACATCCACTACACAGATCCGGCTGGATGCTCTTGGCCCCAGTGGCAGATGGGGGGGTGATCTTATCGCGTGGGGTGTGCCTGGGCTTGGCGAACTAGTTGGCAATCCCTACAGCATGACGCCTACCCGTCTGCCTTGCCCGCTAGAGTGATTCCTAAGTGTGCATGCGAGGTGTCAGGTCAAGTGGTGCATGCTACATGGGTAGTTCTCTAAATTAGGGTCCCTTTTTGGGTCCCCAATATAGTACGGCACCCTTGTAAAAGGGACCCTAAACCCTAAACCGTAAACCGTAAACCCTAAACCGTAATTTAGAAAACTACCCACATGGTGCCACCTGAATCTCTCGCGGGCAGATTTTCCAACCGGTGCGGCTGCTCGAGGCGTCCTCGCAGCCAGGGAATCTTCAAACCGCCACCACCAGGGTTTAGGGTTTAGGGTGTAGGGTTTTAGGGTTTAGGGTTTAGGGTTTGGGGTTTGGGATTTAGGGTAAGGAGTGACGATTTCTGAGCCTGGCATCCAAGGCTCGGAACTCCAGCCGATCGTGCCCTGCGGCACCACGCCGTCGGGACCAGCAGTGCCGCTGTAATCTATACTGTTGACCCGCAGCTTGTCCGAGCTCTCGGTGTCAAAGCTGACCACTTGAATTGCATCGGTGTTCCCGGCAGGCACGTGAATTGTGCAAGAGTCGTCATCCGGATAGGAGCTCGGGTAGCTCGGGGAGCTGATACACCCATCGGCGTCAAGCGTGCATTGCCTCAGCTCGCCCCGCCCTTTCACTTACCGCATTGCTCCGAACTCCGAACGGGCTTCACCCGTGTCAGCACAGAGTGGAATGAGCAGCTGAGGATGGGGCCCGGATGTTACACTCCACGCCTTATTCGCAAACATCTGCGCGTGACTTATCGTAGAGTCTAGCATGTTGCCCTGGTACGTCAAATCTCCTGCATGGCAACCAGCAAGAGCTAAGTCTGACGCTGCTGCGAGTTGCCCGACAGCAGGTGCGAGCAGCAAGCTCCAATGCAGCACTTCCAGGACAAGAGCTCGAAGCATGGCTCGGGAGCCCCTGCGCCCTGCGACTGTGACACGTTTGTACCCACACAGCAGAGTTGCGTTGACGAAACCAATTGAAGGAACACGCGCGGTGCAAACGGCGGTGGTCATCGCCATGAACAAACAACGTGTTTAAAGGACGGTTTCAGGGCACCACTTCAGGCAGAAATAATGATATCCAAAGGTGAGGCTTTTGCTCTCTCGCCCTGCAGTTACGGAGCATTTCCGAGCCTTCGGCTGCCGAAAACGCAGATGATTCGGGTTCACTCTAAAGCATTTGTATTCATCCTTGGATATCATAACAAGAAATGAGAACCAGAGTGTAGAAACCTCGAGCAAACCCCAGGATTCGCATTGGCGACCCTGAGACAAAGCCTAAAGTTTCACCTCGCCCGATTGCAGATGCTGGATCTTCCGTGCACAGACACCTCCGTTGCTGCCATAGTGAGGGCACACGGACGCCTTGCCAACGGAACAGGACCCCCTGCCATGGGATAGTCCACGTGCACTGCGGCATGCTCACCGGGTCTACGAGAGTCTGCGTCCAAGCTGAAGGATCTTCAAACCCAAACCAAACCGTCCTTCTCCTGCGAAGACTTGCTCTGGACCCAACATTGGCTCGGCTCCAGGGTTGAAACTCGGACGGCTGAGCCGAGCCCACGCACCTTGAGCCTCGAGCCCAGCATCGGGACCAGCATCTGGCACTGAGCATTCCGACAGCGGACTACCCCTCGACCTTCTCCGACGGGCTGCTTCGGCAAGATCAACTCTTTTCAGCAAGCCTCGCGACTGAAGCTGCTGTTGTTCGGCTAAGGAGATGCCTGCTTCAGCAGGATCTCCGTCTCCATGTGCAAGCTTCAAAGTGCTTCGAAGCTACAACAGGTCAGCGTCTATGCTGTCGGGACCCGATGCAGTCTGGAATCATTGGGGGAGTGGGGGCTCTTGCAGTGTTCTTCTAATTTCTGTGAAGACTTCTCATGTCTCCAGATGATTCCGAGGGCTTCGGGTCACAACCGTTCTATGACCGCAGAGCCCTTCTCTAGTGGTTGCGACAGCACCCAACCCCTGCGCGAGGAAGCGGAGCATCACCGGACATACTCAATCAGCTTGGTACGGAAGTTTCGAGAAAGAAGCTAGGACAAGCATGAAGCATGGCACCCATCTCGAAATTGATCGTGGTGTTCGCGGGCTGTCGGCTGCACACTTGAGGGTCTGTGGATCTGCAATTGCAGGCCTTTTGGCATCTCAGCAACGGAACGCCGGCCCGATACTCATGCTGATGCAGAGTGATGTTGCCTGCTATCGCAGCTAGAAGAGTTGCCCACCGCTGCAAATGTATCTCTATATGTATGTCTGTGTATACAGAAAAAGCTCTGGAAAATACAGAAACCTTCGTCCAGATGTCGTACTACTTGAGGCTCCTATTATATGAGCTCACAGAAGCCCTGCCGGGGGAGTGAGGTCGGCCGCTGTCGGGCGTCCGTGGAAGCTCTGCATTCAGGCCTCCGCCAGTCACGAGCAGACGGCAGGTTACCTCCTCAACCACATTCCAAATCCATTCCCTATGCACTGCAAGCTGAATCCGTTGAAAGAGCTCCGACATCCATGGCCTCGCCAACCTTCTTTCACGGTGGGCTGCACAGGAGATTGCCGCAGTAGACAGCCTGCGAATGCAAGAATTAAATCTTGCAGCTCATTGGCGACACTGTTGCAAGAACAAACAAGCCGCAAGAGATGAGCTGCGCATCAACCGCACTGCTTCGTCACTCCCACTCCGCGATTTATGCTGCCTGAAACTGCATGAATCATGTAGAAGACATCAGTTGAGACCAGCAGCCGGAAAGTACAACACAGTAGACGGCACTGCGAAGATCTGTTCACCATTCAGCCATTACAGTCTGGTTTCGGCGAGATAGGGGTCAAGAGTCATCACTAGTCACTCACGAGTACCGTCTGGGCGAAAAAGAAGGACACTTGTTGGGATTTCGTACCATGTTCCCTCTCCATGACGGGCCTGACGAAAGCCAAAAGACTGACTCTTGTGAGGTTGCCACTTGAATGCTTGCCTAATTGGGAGCCATGACTACCTAAAACACGAAGGTGGATAGGTCTGTATGATGGACATTGTAGAATAGCAAACGATTGTCAAGGTAACTATGCGCCCTAAGGCGAACCCGAATCCAGCGTGATGTTGTATCTCATTAACCCCAAACGGTTGTATCCAGATTGGTTTGGCGGTATCCGTCTTCACGGTGCCTCTCCCCTGCTGCGATCCTGCAAGTCTGGCTCCAAGATCTCTGCGAAGTGGCTGTCATCCTGCCGATAGCATCGCGGGAAAGCCACGTCCAAGATGCCGCCTATTGCCATGAACAGAGTTCTTTCGACGAGAACACCGGCATCCAGGTTCTTGTCCGACACGAAGCTGGCACGGACCTCATCGCGCGAAGCATGCGAAGCCTTCACGGCCTCGCGGAGGCCACGAGGTTTGCAGACCTTCAGAAGTCGACGGGGATCCAAAGCGGAGTGAGTTTTTTTTCGGACTTCGAGGATGTTCCCCATCCTCAGCCTCCGAACCTGAACTTTAGGCTCTCCAACTCCGTCGAATTCCCCAAAGTCCTGTAAAGTCATTCCCCAAACCCGCTTCCTGTTGCTCCCCTGTGGCCTCTCCTTCGGAGTTGGCCGGCCAGCAACAGCTCGTGGCATCCTCCCGCTTCCGTGCCCTCGCAGCCTCAGCCGTGTAAGTTAGGGTTTAGGGTTTTGGGGAAGGCTTTAAGCACCAAGTCAAGTCGGGGGCAGTTTCGGAGGTGTCAATATGTCGTGTTGAAGGCCTTGTAGGAAACATGGGTTGGTGGTTTAGTTGGCGTTGCCTCTTATGTCGAGGGTTTGCCTTCATGCAGATGATGCTGTCGCAGATGGCATGGTGATGCTAATGATGCTGAGGCTGACTACATCCGACTACCCTAATTGCTGGCGACAGTTTGACGGTGGTGGTGAAGGAATGTGTTGGCTCTGCTGACTATTCGTGTCCATTGATTCACATCATGTTGTTCCACTCCTTATTTTGAACAGTGTTTGCTGTCGCGACGTCTTTGCTTGTCCTGAAAACACCTCTGGGGTTGGCCCCTCGCTTAGTGCTTTCCTGAGGAGCCGGAGTGGGACACCGAAGAAGCAAGAGGCAAAACGGGGGCACCCTGCACGCTGGGCTGCGTTGCTTCCGCACGCCGAGGCGCCGGAGATGCTCATTAAGGTGCTTCTGCAAGACATGCGGCGGCTCGTTCTCTAGTGGCATGGTTCAATCCTATGAGAGCTTTGCCGTTTGGATGTTCGGGTTCCCAGCTCGACCTCGTTGCATGTTCACTTCCTAAAGAAAACAAAATTCCCGTCTATTCTATCTTGACGTTTGCCCAGGGACGATAAAGGTGCCAAAGAGCATACATGATTCGACATTCGGCGTTCAGGGTTTTTGAACCTCCGCTTCACTGCCGAGCTGCTAGCCCGTGATCCAAGGATTCGAGCTGGCACGTCCGCCCTGATTGCCCATCAGGCATGGGACATCGATGTGTGGTGCCTAAATTGAATACTATGCACGCACTAGATAACGTATTACCACATTGTGACACCGCCCTCCGGAAATGCACGCAAGCAAAGGCTAGTTACATCTAGTTACTACAAGGCTGCTGCTGCTGCTGCTGCTGCTGCTGCTGCTACTACTACTACTACTACTACTACTACTACTACTACTACTACTAACTGCAACAGCTCCAAAAAGGACTGCTGCGACTCTTGCTTCCCCGACGCCGCTTCCCTGCTGGTCTTCCTTCGGTGTGGCCTTCTGGGTGCTCCTCCTCCTCCGTCGGCAAGCTGCACAACACGTTGGTGAAGTCCTTGACAGGGCCCAGAATACAATCAAACTCAGTGACTTACCCAGCTCAGAGAATACGAGTGCACATGTGCTTGACGTATCCGGCAATAGTCATGAGTGAGTCGGTGTGAACACCAAGCCCCACGAGAAAACACCCGGAAAAATGAAGGCATCCAACACCACAGAACCAGTCGTGGTCGTCATGCTCGTCGTCGCAGACATAGACGTCGTCGTCGTGGCAGCATCAGCAGCAGGATGTGGACGCAAGGTCATCTTGAAGTCATGTATAACAAAGCGGTAGACTGTACCTGCGGACTCCATAGCACATCGGTCAATAGACTTTCTATAGCATAAGTCGGCGTGGACGCACAAAAACGGATGAAACTGAAGGCACGGATGAAGGGTCTCTAATTCGCCAGTATCACCGGACGCTTGTAGTTGAAGTCGTTGTGCAAAGTAGCTGCGCCGAGGATTCCAAGAATCGGGGCGACAGAGGAGCCCATAGGGCCAAAGTTACGTCCACCAACGACGGACTGCTGTAAAACAGCTTGGAACTGTACGATGTGACGGCATCCAGCACCACAGCATATGACAACCGCAAACCCTGAACCCAGAGATCAACCGGAGCCTGTGTGGAGGTCGTGGCTTTGCCAGTTCTCCCACGCCTGGATGCGACGGGCGCTCAGCAGTCCTTCGCTCGATTGGTAGAAAGCAACTGAGCTCGAGGCAACGGAGGATGGCCCTGCGAGCCTCAGCACGGCATGCAAAACTAGTCGCAGCTAGAACAGGGTCGATGACCACCAAAGGTTCGGCTAGCTTGCACTCACGACCCGTGACTGCTAGGCGCTACGGTCAACCATCCTGCCTCAGGTTTCCCTCACTGCACTACGGCCTTCCAGATCCGGTCGGATTTGTCGCTTCCTACGGTTTTGCGGGGATTCGCTCCGGTTGAGCTAGTTTTGCAATGAGATTTCGACTCCGTCACACTCCGGTCCATGCCGTTCTAGGTGCTAAGCGTCATAAGAGTGGCCACTCTCCACCTCTTTGCAGCTAAGCTTGCGCCTGTCGGTGAATCGCTGCATGGCGGGTGCAAGAAGCTCTTCTGCTTTACAAGCTTACCGATACTCATGCCTGTGTTCCATCCCGCCGGAGGGACATGTCTGACAGCAGAGGTTCTCCACCCTTGCGCCAGAATCTGCAATCCCAAGCCTTTCGCCTGAGCATGTGAGCCCCAAGCCGTGGTCTCCGTGTGGGTCTCCGTACTGGTCTTCGGCGGTGGCCCAAGCGCGCATCACCTGCTGCACTACGCACAGAGGCACACAGAGCAGCATAATCTGCTCTACAGACTTGCTCTTCGGAGGATGCGGCCTGGCGTGCACCTTTATGTCGATTTTGAAATGCTTTCAAGACTTCGGCGGCTTCCCTTCCATCCGCGTCGGTTGCTGAAACAATTATCACAGAACACAGGTCTTCGGTGTGCTCGTCCAAGAAGCTTTCAGGACCTGGGTGTGCTCAACCACCAAACCATGCCGGACATGCAAACTGTGTACAATCTTGTCTCCAAAACAATCTGTGTTATCTATGGCCACTGCGAAAGTCCTGAAGACGGACGCGCTTCATGGTGAAGCCTTCTGCTTCCAAAAGCAACTTTTTGCCATCTACATCAATGAAGGGGTACTCGCGATTCTTGAGTGCTTCATTCCTTGGTGACATCAGGAATCTCCGCTTGTGCCTTCATGGTGCCGGCGAAGGATAGAGGCTTGAAGCTGCGTTTTCCGATCGCATTAGCTCAATGCCAACACTTGCCCGATGGCATGGACTGGGGCTTGGGCAGATCCTGATACAGAGCGGGATACTCACCCAACGTCATGGTATTGCCCACGCCTGGCTGGATGCCCAACAGCTTCAGTCCTTCGGTACAGCAGTGTAGAGTCAATCGAAAAACAGTGACAGTGCTCCTTCGTCTGACCCTGTGCAGGAAGCAAACGCCTGATTTGTGTTCACCCCTGCCAGCCCGACTTGTACACGCTCCGCCGCGCGCCGGAACCGCTGCGAATTCATTCGGTCGCTTGGCCGCCTCTTGCGGCGATAAGCACACGCAGCCCGGCAACGCGAAGCCTCTCGAGTTAAGGACCGTGCTCCGGGTAACGAGGCGGATAAAGGCAGCCGCAGCTCCGGTGTTTTAGTTTAGGTGCGCCCAGGGGGAAGAGTCTGCAATGTGAAGCTCAGGCTGGACATGAATTCACGTTCAGAGGAGAGCAATTCTCGTGCATTCACAGCTATGCTGAGTTGAGGTTTACCCTTGCTAGCCCGAGCTCCGCCGCAAGGCTCTGCTCCAACACCGCCTATTCTCGGCTATTGGCACGTCCGGGGTAGGTGAAGGCAGCCGTGGCACTTCAAGCTTCTCAATGCCAAACAATATCGGAACCTTGCTGGACATGTTTCTACAGCGCTTAGTTCACGTTCCACTGGGGTCTCGCCACAACACCGACCTCTCGCAAACGAAAATGGCAGGTACGACTGCAAACCTTATAGACATTGCAGTGGGGCAGTGACATGCACCGAATGCACGGCCATGTACGCAAATACGCAAAACAAGATGCATCAAGCCGACGATGTTGCAGGTCTTGACACGAGCGAAGCAAAGCCTGCAGAAGTCCTGTGCAAAAACGAAGCGTCTCCTCCCCCAAGACTGTGCGTCTGGACTGTCACAGAAACCCACACGGCCAGTGATCATCCCCGCCGGCACAGCCATGTACCGCCAAACATTCACTCAAATCCCAAATGCAATGCGAGCGTCTGGTGGCCCCCTCGTCCACAGCAATCTGCATTTTGGCCATCACCGAGAAGCGGTAGAACGAATACCACTCGTACTGCTTGATGCCCTGGCCAGACTGCTCCCTGAAACCGTTGCAAACCACTATCGGTCCACGACTTGAATGGTCTTCGCAGCATCAACCACCGACAACTCAATCATGGACCGTGCACAGGAAGCGCTGTCTCCGGTGAACGACCCTGAAGCTCTGACTCTCGCGCCTCGCTCTCGCGCGTGGGCGGAGCTTCGAAAAGCGGCATGAAAGCAAATTTTGCCTCGGGTCCGGCATACTCTTATAGCTGCAAGGGCTTGAGGTCAGGTGCTGGCACTATCTGGCATTTTCAGACACCACGAAAGCATAGCCGGTGCCGCAGGCAAGTGAGGCGTGCACGCGCCCGTGAGATTCTTGGAGTTCTTTTGCTGTGTTGTGTGCCCGAACCACCCTCTTCACCTCACCGACATCCTTCACGTCGCATGCAGCAATGATGACGGCCCACCTGTCTGCCGATAGTTCCTTGATCTCTTTGCCTTGCAGAGGGTGGCAAGATGCTGTAGCACCGCATGAAGACTGCCACGGCATGCAACCACTGAGGCTCAGACTCAGATGTTTCAGTTCGTTTCCCATTTCAAAGTTGATGTCTGTGAAGTTCAAGACTCTCTTCCCGGCAACGTAGAAGGGGTGCTTTTTGGATTCAAACGCTTTCGACCTTGGCTTGTGAGCAGGATTCATATCCTCATCACGGATCACTTCACAGACGTCGTCAGGTGCTTCCCACCAGATGAGCCTCCGACAGGTCTTCCTGTATCTCCGTAGCCGCTTGAAAGAGATAAGCACGCCCCGGTTTGGTGGGTTGGTTTAGGGTCAGCATCTTGACTCCTCGACAACACTGCCGGGCTGCAGCACTTTCGTGGAAGGCAACTCTGAACGAAAATGCAGCTCAACAGCAGAGCAATTGTAGGACAGTCCTTCCGCACCTTCATCGAAAGCGGATTGGATGATTGAGTACATTGCGTGTCGGTAGTAGGGGTACCACTTTGGGTAGAGCTCTGCATCCTTCTTTCGTCTGGCGGCCTGCAACAAAAGCTTGTATGTGTTTCAACAGTGTCTGACAGTGCTTGCCCACTGCCGTAAGGCGGACGAAGCGGTCTTCTCTTTGTAACATTAGCATGACTTGGTGCTTCCCATAAAGAGAATCTAGGGCTGCCTGCGTACCATGCGTACCTAACCTTTCCCTGAACTTCCGAAAGACACATGCAGCCAACATGCACGCCTGTCGCCAAGATTTCCAGAGATAGCGGCTCAGACAGCAACTGCAGAGGCAAAAGCAGCTTCCCACTATGCCGCCTGTCCTTGCGATGCGACTTGGAATGCAAAGACAGGAGCAGCCAGAAGCTGAATAAAAACTCGATGACTTTCCCGACTTTGCCACAGCAACCGCATGCAACACAACCGAAAAACCTTGAGATGCTTGCTTTGAATGAACATCTGCCGCCCGAGCGCGCCAGGACCTGAAACCACCCCTGCTCGGGAAGCCAAGCCTGCAACTTGTGCTTTGCATGAAGGCACAACCACAGAAAGTTTCGATACTGTTGCGCCTCAGGGTCCTCAAGGCACACCTTGAAAGAATCGGCAACTGCCCCTTCTCGCCGAAGAATGAAGCCTTCCGGCTGAAGCCCGGTGAAAGAACTCAAGTCTCCATAACGTTCTTCTCCATTGATCAGTAGGGGAGACGAGAGCGGTCTTGCGTCCCAGAAGAGGCGTCGCTTGTTCGACTCATCGACAAAGATTCCACAAGCAGTCGTGTCGGCGTTCGGGTAGTTGCCGTTGGTGATGCAGCCCTCATCATCAATTTTGCAGTACCTCAAGCAACAGCGCTTCTTGTATTGCTGCAAAGACCTCTTTCAGCCTCTGTCCTGCACGGAATTGGACCCAAAGGAATGAACAAAAGATGAGAAATCGGCGAAGTCAAAGGGAGTTATTCTCTGTTTTCTCTTCCAACTTGCATGCGGAACTGGTCCTGGTGGGATTCACTTGGTCTTGACTCCCGCCACAAGCTAGCTTCAGCATAGTAAGCCCAGCATTCAATGCGCTGACAAACGCCTCACCAGACTCGAGCCAGTATGTATGTAGCGGGGTCAGCTTCCCAATGCCCTCCCCGGATAGATGGAAGGTACAGGCGTCATTCGTTGGCAAGTTGGGCTGGGTGGAGGGTTGCCTCTCCCGCACAAGTGCACTCGCACCCACATATCCACAGAACCCACTCGAGGGCTGGTTCCCACTCTCTCTGTCTCCGTCTTCTTCGGCATTTCTCTCGGGCACCGGCTGTCTTCCCCTCTCTGTCTCTCACTCTCTCTCTCTTGATTTCTTTCTTTCGTCAGGGTTGTGGGTGAGGGAAGTTCTCCCACCCAAGGGCACGTCGGCGCCCCCGCCTGTTGCGGAGGGAATGGTGAGGCGCTCTCTCGCCAGCAAGGCCATTATCACGAACTTGTAGCAACAGCATGCAACACAAAGGGAAAAACCCCGAAATGCAAAGCAGAAACAACCAGAGTGCGTTCGGCGTGCCTTGGCGAGATGGGCATCGCAGGTTCAAAAGGGGGAAGAAGCCATCCTCATCCCCTATTGTAGCTCTCGGACAATCTACAACAGCGTCGTAGGAGACTAGAAGTCTCTCTTGATTTCTCTCGCTCTTTCTCTTCTTTCCCAGGTTTAGGGGAGAAGGGGGATGCCTTCTCCACACGCTTCAGCGCTCACGACTTTTGCGGGCAAGGAGTTTCGACACACACTCACTCTCTCTCTCTCTCTCTCTCTCTCTCACCAAGCGTCACACCCTGCGATCACACGCCAAGACCGGCCATTCATATCAACCTGCGGCACTCGTCTGCGTGTCGCTCCAGGCTCAGTACAGCGCAACAGTGCCATCAAAGCATTCGTGTCGCAGGAGTCTTGAGATTTATGCAAGGCATTCACCACGGACCTACTCCGCACTGAGCTCCAGGCTTTGGCCATGTTTGCCGGCACCTGCCATATTCTCAACTATCAACCAAACAGACATGACGCCATGCCAAAGCAGCAGAGCCTCACCAAGACAGATTACCCAGCCATAGCGGCTGGCAGGATCAACACGGTCCTCTCTGACAGAGAAAACTCCAAAGACTGCACCTAGCCGTCTTCGTGTCAACTTTAGTTAACACTCCTCCAGATACAGATGCTTCTCTCCCAACTCCGCAACAGCGGGTCAAGTCGTTATTGCAGCTGAGACGCAGCCCTCCACTCAATGGTTCCCTGAGGCACCACGTCATTCGGGCCAGTCGTACCGGAGTAGCTTTCTCCATTTACCGTCAAGGTGTCTTTGGGGCCAGTCGTGAAGGCGAGGACTTGGATGGGCAACGTATTATTTTCGGCAACCTGAATATTGCACTTCCCGTAGCTCGTGTAGAAGCTCTCTGGAAACCTTCTGGTGGTGATGCATTGGCTTTCTGGTAGAATCTCACACGACCTCATGAGGGAACAGCTGTAGCAGTCTCGCACATGTGAGTTTGCTTCTCCCAACACTGTGGCCCCTCAGGGCCAAGCCCGGATTCGGATGACACAAACCATGTCGCTGCCGTAACGCTTACCTGCCAAGTTCTGAACATTTCAAGATTGCCGGCCATGACGAGCACTCACCACTCGGGTGTGAAACCAGGGACAATGCTGCGTGATCGTGCGGCTCACCTACGGTTTATCGGGTCGCCCGAAGCCCTCAGGCCACAATCCTAACCTACTGGACCCCAAATCCTCAAATCCTACCCAATGAGACCCTAAACCACCGAGCATCAAGCGTGCCTACATCCCGAGGCCGTGGCTCAGCGAGACCTTGTGGAGGGTGGTCAGGCCGTGTTTCAGAACGAGACTTGGCTCTTTTCGGAATTATGTTTTCGGGTCTAGGGCACGTTTATTGTAATAAATCTCCAAGGGAGTATTAAACACGATTTTGATTTTGGCTCTACCGGTGCTTGAAGGGTACAGGAACCTGTTGTTGTTGAATTACCAACAGAACTGGGCTCAAAAAAGGTTTGACACGGGCAATCCTAGGGCCAGTTCAAGTTACCATAGAATAAATACATACATATACATACATGCATGCATGCATATACACGTACATACATACATAATTTTTTCATTCTCCGCCGTAGAGTCTTGTACAGACGCTCGCCTAGAATATTAATATGAATTCTACTCACGAAACAGCGGTGAAACATGGCATGCGCGGGCAATCCTTGGAACTTACAGCCAACGTGATTCCCGAAAGCGCATCAAAAAAATCCAATGGCCACATATCAAAAGCGGACAGCTATTCCTCCGAACCGGGTCCCAAACAAAAGGCCAATGCATGCCCGCCACGAGGACCCTTAAACATAGCCACAATTATCAGCACAGTGACTGGGTATATGCAGATTGGGCCATGCGGCTCACAACAAACTGTACGAACAAAATCCCAAGCAGCCAAGATATGTACGAGGCCACGGGATAAATCAGCACATACAACAGATCAAATATGTGAGAACTTGCAAGCTGCTAGGCTAGGTCAGGTATTCCGGAACCAGCAATCCTAGCAAAGTCCTGCGCAAAGAATGATCACGGCCATGAAGAGCTGCGCAATGATGGCATTGCCGCCAGTGCCTGGTACATTAAGGCAAGGAGGAAGCTGATGGCGACGTCACTGCCGCACTCCACGCTGCCACATCCAGCGGTGCTGGATCCCATTGCATAGACCACCCACAGCCGGATGCCCTCTAGACTCTAGGCTCCGGTTAAACGCATAACCATCAAGATCTGCAGGCTGCTGGGTGGTTGCCTTCCCCCCCACGGGCTGGTTGAAATGGCGACCAAAACTTCAAACTGTTCAGGCTCGGGTTGAGCGCATAGCCAAACATCAAACTCAGCAGGCTGCTGGGCACCCTCAGGTTGAACTCGTAGTCAACAAACGAACTTTGCAGGCGGCAAGGTAGTTGGCTGCTCCCCAGGCACCG